GTCGATTTTTCAAATTAGATTTCCTGAAACAGGTTGGACACGCGAAAAAGGGACACGCGACCAGAGACTGTGCCAACCTGCCCGGCCCTACCTACTTATAATTAAAACACAGGCATACCAGAAGTAAGCTACCTATCCTATTCAGGGCCCCTATATATAAAAAAATGGCAAAACAGGCACACCAACACACTCATTCCACGGTTCTCACACATACCACTCGGGCGCAGAAACCTAAACTAGNCACCTGGGCACGTGAGTGAGATCCTGACAATGAACACGGAAGGGGTTAAACCTGAAAATCCTGAACTAAAAAAATGATTAGTTTGTATTTAATTGGTTGTATATAATTAGTTGTGTATTTAATTTGTATCTAACGGACTACTGCATTATTTTATTTCAAACTACAATGACTTTATTCTTTGAAAAATTATTGAAATTGCAAGAGAATAAAGACAATGGGCAAGAACTGAATAAACAAGATATTATGAAATCTAATAATTGACTCAAACAATCAAACTCAAACAATTGACTCTAAATTAAATATTAATAGAAATAATCTCAGGCGATTTCTTCATCAAAGCATATTTTCGAAAATGCAAAAGCAGTGTTCAAACTTGTTGCCTTGATTCAAAAATCTGCCTGTCGCGAAGTATCTTCTTGCACATAAAATTTCATATATTTTTTTTACGGAAAGAATTCTAATCTATTATATATAATCAAGTTGTATTGAAGTTCATAATTATAAAATTCAATTAATTAAATCATTTAATACTATTATAAAAGGGAAAACAAAGTTGGAAATTATTAATTATTATAACAAAATATATCAACAAGTAATAACTGCCTCTTTCATAGCAACGAAGTCGGAGGATATTCGTCTTCTCTACTACGAAATGCTCAATCGAAATCATTTTAATAATAATTATTTATAATTTATCTATTCATATGGATATTTATATAAATATTTTGCTTTTGCAAACATTTATATTGAATATATTCTGATTTCATAAATAATAACTATATATATTCAAACTAATTGTTAAAATCGCGATGTGCAAGAAGTCCTATCCTAATCTAATACATAAAAAACCTGAAAAAGATGTTACTACTCACGGATATGAAAAATATCCGCAGTCACTATGCTCATCAAAAATTCTACGTATACAACCAGTCACCCGTGCCGATTTGGACCTTTCATCCTACGACATGATTGAGTGCCCGGAGGAACATAAATGCATGCGACTCACGCGACAGATGTGAAGAACGTTATCATCGATGCTGGGAAAGTTATCCTAATGACCCTCATCAAGTAGATACCCATAGTGGAAGTGAATGCAGTAAAAAATTTTCTGAAAAACATAAAATATTATGTTTCTAAAGACACTGTGTTATTTGTGAAAATTTAAATTTTAATAATGATAAAAATTTGGATTAATAATATGTGTTTTTATTTTATAATTTTACATTCGACTTCAATAGAAAGAATACTATAGAGAATAGAATTCAAATACAACATGCTAAAGTACTTACATTTTTAGCTTTTGAAGCATCATAAGATCCTTAAAAGATTAGGGAAAATAGTGGTAGTAGAAAATCTGTAACAAAACGATGAACATTAGAATTTATGTCTGGAAGCAAAGTAAAATCTTAAGTTGGAGATAATGAGAGATTCTTACATTCTTGACTTTGGAGTCACCATTGGATTTTCCCCGAAATATACCAAAAAGTTGATGCTGTGAAACGTCTGTAACAAAACATCAAACATTATACTTTGTTGTCAAATTTGAAAAATGGAGTGAATTGAAGTACAATGTATAAAATTATTTACGATCTTGAGTTCCTGTAGAGGCCTTATCCTCTTCAGCACTGACTCTAATACCGAAAACAACCACTGAACAAGAAAAAATACAATAAAAGAAAAATAAAAGACTATCACCATGCGCGTTTAAGTAATAATCGGCGGACTCATTGACTTTAACTTCACGAAATATAATTTAAATGAATTAATTTAATGTAATGAGAGCCATTTTGCTCAGAAAAATATTAAACTATTGCACAACAAACACTGACTTTACTGACCGCATTGCACGCGGTCTAAAAAATTTTCTGAAAATAAAGCTGATTAATAGGGGAAGGATACGTTTATTTAAAAAATACTGCTATTTTTCTAATACATGATTGTAAACAAATGTGAATATGTATTACAAATATTAGTTATAAATTATAAAATATTCTATTTTCTGTACTGAAACTATAAATGGAAGACAATTATTGTATTCTGAATGTTTGTTATTAGAATAGGAAATATGCACATTAGTAATATAAACGTCACGTGTTATAAATGTTCGAAAATGTTTGCACAAATCAAAAATGTAAACAATGTTTACAGCTAAGTATATTTAAGAAACAATACGACGAAAAATGCATGTGAAAGCTTGCTTTGAATCGTTTCAATTGCGTATCAGCAATTCGAAAATAGCAAATACAGTATGATAAAGTACATATAAATGAAAATTTTGAATTTGATAATCTAATACAAGAATATACATCCATTTGACAATATATGTATACCGTTAAGTTGATCTATATCCAAATAAAATATTAATTGATTTAATCTTTTCTATTCTCATCTCTGTATTCCAAATAATTACGAAATTACGTATTGTGTATTGTATCTCAAATATATATGAATTGTATATTAAATATTATCCAAAATTTCAATGATCTTGTCATTCTTTGCCATCATTGCAACCAAGGAATAACCTGCACAAAAAAAAAAAACAAAAGTTAGATCAAACATGTCAAATGAAGACAATGTAAAAGTGAACCGATAATCAACTTCAAATTCTATTAAAAAAGCGTGTAAGACAAGGTACCGTGAGAATAAAATCAACGATTGAAGAAAAATCAGCACGAAAAGATTCAAAATCTTACTCGATTTCGTTATTGTAATGCTCAATATCATTACACAAGCGTATTAATTAAATGACACTATTAATAAAGTATAAATGGAAGTAAAAGAGTGTCCAAGAAACGACACTATCGAGGAGACGCCACGATAGGTTAGAAAAGTCACGAATCTAATGCGACGAAATACGTGTTATTGTCACGAAATTCAATAACCGAATGACTTTTCGCGATTCGTCTCGTCGCGTAGTTGAGAAACTAGTAGGGAATGGGGTGATCCTGTCCGAACAGGCACGATAATCGAGACGAGCATAAACATTGTGTTCATGTTGTTTTTTATTTCGAATTTCCAGCTCCAAGGCTTTCTACGTTTTGCTTTATTTGAGAACTGAACAATTTCATTATATTACAAGTAAAATTATTATTTTAACTATTTTATACGTACATTCTCAATAAATTATTGTTAATACAATTATTAGAATTACGCAGTATTAAGTTTTATATATATATATATATATATATATATATATATATAATTCATTGTTATATATATATATATATATATATATATATATATATATATATTTGTCATATATATATATAAAACAATGAGTTGGTCAATTACAAGGTTACAATATTTCTACTAGTTAGAATTGGAATTAAATTTTGATATAAAATTATAAATAACTTTTAGCATAATATGTTCTATTTAAATGTTTATATGCTATTTCTTTAATTTTTGAAAATTATATGTTATAATTATTTGATTAAATCTTACCTTGTGAGATGAAGCCAATAATGTACGTTTTATTTTAAAAATTCACGATACAAACACAAATCCAACAATTATTGATTTATATTTTTACATGAGAACTTTTGGATGATACTTTTTTCTGGACGAATCTTCTGGATAAATCTTCTGGATAAATCTTTCTTCTTTACAGATGAGACGTGCTTCCTTCCGCCATGTTTCCTGTTCAAAAATCGATCGTGAGAAATATCGATGATTCGAGAATCGTAGGGAGTATATTGCGTGTTTCACCGTTGGGGCGCTGTAATCGCACGTTTCACATGAACATAACTTGGAATAAAAAATAAAAAATTCTGGTATAAATCAAATACACAAAGTTTATGTGGTATTCTTAAAAAAGAACGAAAATATTCACACACTTGATGAAAAATTGTCAATACTTCACTGAGACATAAAAAATTGTATTATATTACACGGTACAATTATTTTAGCCATTAAATACGTACATCCTCAATAAATTATTGTTGGATTTAGTATTGAAATTGTTGAAAATTGAGTAGTATGAGGTCAAAGAATCAACAAATATGTAGAAAATACTATAATAGAAGTTGTGTGTAAAAGCTTATCATAAAATACGTGTGTGTGTATATGTATATATATGTAAAACAATGAGTTAGTCAATTATAAGATTATAATATTTGTACTGGTTAGAACTGAAATTAAATTTTTGTATAAAATTTAGCATAATATGTTCTGTTTAAACATTTATATGCTATTATTTCTTTAATTTTTGAAAATTATATATAATAATTATTTGGTTAAATCTTACCTTGAGATGAAGCCAATAATGTACGTTTTATTTTAAAAATTCACGATACAAACACAAATCCAACAATTATTGATTTATATTTTTACATGAGAACTTTTGGATGATACTTTTTTTTGGACGAATCTTCTGGATAAATCTTCTGGATAAATCTTCCTTCTTTATAAATGAGACGTGCTTCCTTCCGCCATGTTTCCCGTTTAAAGATCGATCGTGAGAAATATCGATGATTCGTGAATCGTAGGAAGTATATTGGCGTGTTTCACCGTTGGGGCGCTGCAATCGCGCGTTTGGCGCGAAATGATTTGGAATAAAAGCTAAAAAACTGATCCAAATCAAATACACAAAATTTATGAGACATTTTTGAAAAAGAACGAAAATATTTAAATACTAGATAAAAAATTGTCAATACTTTGTAATTTCGTGAAAAGAATTTGTAGAACAACTTGATTTTATTCTAAAGAGTAGAGTTTCAACAATCCTGAGTTTATTTCCCGAGTATATATATTTTTACATCATACAACAAGTGTAAAAATAAAAATACTTTTCTACTCGAAAATTACAAAAATTCGAACATCTCGCCAAAGAGAAGTTTTTCCATCACTGAACAATTTTTTTATGATCAGATCAATCATGATCTTGAAAATTGAAATCTTCCCTTTACATTGAACTCTTAAAACTACCTATACAATTTGTTTTCCCCGTTTTAATTATGTTGTTAAATATATTTCAATTAATTTTTTCTAATACCTTTAAATAATCAAATATACAATTTTTCATCCCAATTTCCATCAGTCGCTGTTTTAAATTGTTATATTCCTTCATTGATGAAGTATCACCACGTTCAATTCCATAAATAATTCTCGAAGATGTGACAATACTGTTCATATTTTTTAATTTTAATTTTCATCACTAGTAGTGCTGCAGTGCCTGAATCAGTTCGACAAGATGTGACATGAAAATGGTAAGGGGAAGCCGAAAAAATACATTCTATGTGAGGTCTGTTCATATACATACCTCGTCTGTGCTTATATAGTGCTAATATTGTCATCACCAAATAACAGGAAACGTTAATGGAACACAGTTATGCAATTATCCCATATCGTGTATCGTGCAGATTAAGGTTGGGTAAGCTTCTTATCGATCGAATATGTCATCAACAATAACGTTTAATCACATTTCGTTATATCGAACATATTTTCTTTTTTAGGAAGGTTATTAACAAAAGATCGTCATCGAAAAAAAAAGGCAGGGAAGAACAGATGGAGAGAGAGAGAGCCGGCACAACGATCTATGACGTCGTAGAAATTTCAAGATTGTTATTTATGGTAGACGAATTTGCGTCTAGTCACGGCGATATTTCAACGAAAGTGGCATCCGGGGAGTGGTGGGTGCAGTCATGAAAAGCTACGGTGCCTATTCTCCATCGCGGCGAATCTTTTGGCTTAGCTCGCTCTTTCGTAGGGTGCACCGTGCCCTTAGCCGCCTTAGCTCGGCCTCCCCATCCCACGAGGCCGATTACATCGATCGTTTTATAGAACCGGTCTTGTTACACGATCCCACAGGAACGTCTAAAACCTCTTCCTAACCAACCTACGTTCGCAGAATATACGTCCGAGCAACGAATAGTTGCAAGTCCGTTTTTCTTTCTTCGCAGTTCAGAAATACTTCTAACTCTGGCCAGGTGGAGTCTCGGAGAGTCTTCGTTCGTTGCCTATATTTTTCCCTTTAACGACCCTGCAAGTTCAATAATGTAAGTTTGATTGATGATCGATGCCAGATTCATATAAATTCTGTCGACAGTAAATCTAGGTAGGTAGGATATTTGTTTTGGAGTTTTCTCAATTTTTAGTTCGACTAACAAAGTTCGAGTACTTGAGATAGTATGGATCAATGAGAAGAATTATAAATATATAAATATACTAAATATATACAAGCCGCTTGAAGACTTTGCTTCAAATTTTACGACTCAAACGCCATGTCTCTAGTAATTGAGATCAACTCGTGCTCGCTTTTTACAAACTCTCGTTTACGTTCTGCTATTCGTCATGCTACATTTCCTTCACATCTGCAAACGATAAATAATCAAGTTTCATTACGGAGCAATGCTCAGAAGACGTTGATGAGATTAAACGTTCATTATCTGGTATTTACGAGCGTGTAACTTTATAAACGCTAAGTTTAAACTGTCTCGCAACTTATTATTGCGTTACGTCGTTATATAAAACTCGGCTAGTTATCGAACCATTTATGTAGTCGTATTTATTCGCGACGTTATCTGTATGTCATTTCGACACAACTACTTTATCCCGGAAATAAAACCATTCGAAAGTTATATCGTGAAATCGTTGAAGATATCTAGTTTCTTTGCGGATGCACTTAATGCTTTTGTCGGTCGAACCGTCCTTCGGGGACGATTAAATCGATTGCTTTATGGGGTCACTGGTATTTCACAATCTTGTAGCATACCTTAAAAATGATTCCGACATTTTTCCAGGTTCGAACAGTAGCGAGAAAATTACAAATAATTTTTCTTTTAATTCAGATACATTGACTCTCGGGAAACCGTACCAAATTTACTTACGCTATTAATCTTGCCGCGTGTAACATCGGAAAATATCTCAAATTTGAACAAAGTATGAGTATCAGTGTATGATACATACGTAATACATAAATTTCGTGTCAAATATCTTCTTCTTAAAACACTATAAATTCTTTTCGTTTTCTGAAATGAAAATAAAGTTGAAATATAACGTTTTTCATTTGCACAAGTTTTCTCAATTACGTTCTCTACGCAGATTCTAAATTTCAAGAAACTGAAATACATTTGTAACACAAAAACAAATTAACCCCTAATTAGATAATTTATTCATGTTTTTTTATTTGTTAAGATGAAAACATTAGTTTTTATAAAGATGACAACATAAATAACCAAGTAATAAAAGTAAAATGCGCACGAATCAAAACCCATCGCAGAATTCCGCGAAATTGTTAAACCGTTGTGTCAATGCTCCAGGGATTAAGAGCATCGTATTATCTGTCTTGTTATTTTATTGTAATCGTTGTGCTTACCGAGGGGAAGGTACAGATCACAGATCCGCATCTTTATTTCACGATATTTTCTGTGATTTTGAAACTAGACAAGGGATTTAAAACTGACGTAAAAAATAACGGTAACAATATAGCGATTATGATTATATCGAGCGACTTCCAATGCAACAGATATCTCCAATGGGAAATGTTACATCGATCGTTTCGCGTTAGCTGTTTACAGACTCCCCGAGGAACAACTAATACTCGTTTCGTTGCATGTTCACTTTAGTGGCTATCAAGCGTTCAATTGCATCTGTTAGTCTCTTGAATTGCGTTTGTAGGCTAGCGATGAAACGAGATTTCAAATGCTACACACACGGTCGTTGAGGGATAGTTTAGGGCTAGGGGATCGACTTTTCTGTTCTTGTTTCTATGCAACATGGAAACGCTTTAATTCTGAGCAAGTTCGTATTTCAGTTCTGATAAGAACTAAGTTCAACGTTCCTTGATTAATTTACATTTCTTCAAATTTACTTATTTATTCATCTATTTGTTTGTATTAATATTTGCAAAAGAAGATTGTCTGATATACAAAACATAAATGATTATATAAAACCAAATGTATCCGTATGACTGATGCAATTGTAACGAGCAATATATTTATTTCTAAGCTATAAGAAAGTCCTTAGCTATATGAAAGAAACATAGATCCAAACTATCAACGATTTCAGGAGAATAAGCCTATGTATTAATTATCTTATGTGCTACTTCACAGCTCCAGACAATTTAAGTATTAAAACGTAATTACACATAGAGATAATCATCCAGAGAATAAGAAATTAATCGCGAAAATTTTTGTTGAACTTGTTCAATTATATAACTATACCACGTATATTAGTTCCTTTCGCTATAATGCAAACATGTTTACTGCGGGTAAACATTTTATCGAATACAAACACGTACTTTTGCGACTCGAGAAACGAGTTCCTATTGAAAAAGTCGCCGTTTACAGTTTACATCGTGTGCACTGTTCAAGATGCTTTTCTACTTACTTGGAATGCCAGGTTTCGAACATCAAGATCGAGGAAGAACGAAGAAAGCACGGGATGGAAAGTCAAAGTCCATTTGTCCGCGATATTTCGCACGTCACTGCACACCAGCTTGTGCGCTTTCGAGCGTGCGCTCAAGGGAATGTCGTGTTCGCTTTGTTGACAACTTAGTTTTTTTCGGACTTTTCAACTCTAACAGAGATAATTCGTTCGTTCCTGAAACACAATTGATATTTTAGTCTTGAAATTACTTGAAATATTCATTTGGTTAAATTTTACTCTATATAATTTGTTATATCGAAAACTTTCCAATTACAATTATAAAAAATGTGAGTTGAGTTGGAATTAAATGTAAGATTATAGAAACTGTCAGTTAGGAGATGTCGAAGTGTTAGTATATGGTAGTTACAAAGTTATGATAAAATGAAATTATGTTTGCAAAAGTGACGAACGATTTTTATGCATTTATATAACATTTCCATGAAAAAATGTACATAATAATACATAAAAACGTATAAAATATCCAAAGTGAACTGCTCGTGACAATTTTTAATAAATAAAACGAATTTAAATTCTATATTATCTTTTGAGCGTATCCATCAAAACATAAATTTGCATGAAAATCTGTAATACAGCAGTAAATGAAACAACAAATGAATATAATATCTTAAAATAGAATGTGACAGAAAATATGTATAAAAATTTTAAAAAGAGTACCAATTTTAACTCTCTATGACACGTAACTTACAAGTTACATATTCATATCACCTTTTTCTTGTTCACCATTGTATAAGCACATATTATTTGCTATTCATATCGAAATTTCTTCAATGCTACGAACGAAGGTCTGAAATTCGAAGATCTGACGTAAGCAATCGACGATCATTTCCGATTCACCTTTCAACTAGCCAATTGAATCGTTCGAAGATCACGATTACCGATCCTGGCGCGATAGAGGGTCTTCTCTCGCTCGGAATGGAAATTACAGATCTTCGTATTTAAATGACTGCCGTGAAAAATGGAAGAGGCCGTTTATCGATAAGCGCGTAAAAAGTTCTGCGTAATGCGAATGAAAGATCGGAATCCGATAGGAGCGCAATAAGTACATTGGCCCGTCACTTGCAACCGGTCGCACGCTCATCCTGCTCCGCTTGCTTCGCGTCGCATTGTTACGGAATTTCGAAATTGCACGAATTATTTAAAAAAAATTGCTCCCTTTCCAGGCACCGTGCTTTAGTCCTGTCGATTTTTTCATTTTTTTTTTTTTTTTTGTTTTTGTTTATCCTTGAATTGGCTTTTTGATGCAATCGATCAATCATCTCTCTCTTCTTTTTGTTTCTTGATAAAATTTGCCAGAGTTAGGAACTTTCAGCATCGAGGTATTAACACAACTACAAGATCGAACGTGGTCCTGTTTTCTAGCTTCACGCGGCAGGCGGTTCCAGAATCAAGGAAGGAATTCGATGCTCTCTCTTGGATATGTTTCAGCTGCGTCGTTCCCCTGAGATACGCGCAATGTTCTTACATTATACGCCTTCGCGCCAAGCGAAACAGGATTTTAGAGTTTGTCTGTGAAATTCAAAGATTTCTTGGGAAATAAACTCAACTTAAACTTTTCATAAGTGTGAAAAACGAAACAATAAAAACTTGTTTGTGAACTCCACTTTTGGAAACAAAATTGGATATCTGATTAAATGAACTATCGATTGAATCCACTGGTCTGAACATGTTGTATGAAAAAAAAAATGATGGGCAGAATTATATGAACTTCATTGATTGTTCTTGACAAGTTCATAGAATAGTTCATTTGTGAACTAAATTTTAAATTTACATTCTTAGAATAGAAGTCCATTTATACTCGTCGAGAGATAATTAATTTATGTAATAATCATTCTACCTGTCTGAATGATTTTTCATTCACATTATAACAGAAGTTCGCGTTCATACAAGTGGATTCAATCAACAAAAATTCATTTGATAAGGTACTACTTAAAATTTTGTTCAAATAAATGTAGTTCATGTAAATGAAATTTTACTCTATACGATTAAATGAACTCTTCGTTCATTCACTGATTTGAACATGAGTTCCTGTAATGAGAATGAAAAATCGCAGGTAATAACAGAATGAAGTATTACGAGCTATTAATTTCTCGATAAGTTTATATAATCAGAGTTTTTATTTTATGATATTAGTATATAATTTTCTTGAATTTTGAATAAAATAACTCTAATAAGTACAAGAAAAGACAATTATCTACTTGTTTTCATTTTTAAGTAAGACGTGCGATATTTCTATTTCTCAAAAAATAATTGACTTACGTATTTATGTTACAGTTGTTACAATAAGTCTGTAATTAAACAGACATCTGGCTACCCACTAGAAAATGAATCGTAATTGACAAGATTGTCATATGTTATCAACGCTTGAAAACTGTAATGGACGAATGTCGATAATTTCTATGAAATATTCAGAGTTGAGTAGGGTTGTTAGAGTGTCGAAATTTCTCCGCCAGTTTATCGCGTATTCGCATTCATTATTGGAGGAGTCCCGAATTAACGATCAATTAAGCGATCGCGGGTAATATGGAATGCTTGGCACGTAGTAATGGCCGCGTAAGGATCGCCAGACCCACTGGAAGGAAAGCCGGTGGCTTCGCTTAAACGACGTTCTTGCCTTTGTATCCTCGAAGCCATCCATTATTCGAGATTTTGGGCTACGTACAGCAAAGTCGATCGTTTGTCCTTTCTCGTGTTGCTATTTTCCCACGATTAGAAATTTGAATCGATACAATGTGATTCACTTCGAATTCTTCGCATATTTGATTCTTTTTTCTAAATTTAATATAATATTAATATTATGTAATGTAAGTACAATATATTATTCAAATACTTCTAACATATTTGAAATCGGGACATTTTTGAAAGATTGTTTCCAATAGTTGAAATTTTATTACTTACGAAAAACTATCGTCGTTTAAATGGAAAATATAATACAGCACACATATTAAAGTACATATTAAATTCATCAGATGCAATCCATAAACAAAATTAAGAAAAACTGAAAAAAAATTAAAATATTTCTAATGATGAAATTGCACTACTCGAGTAACGAATATTAACGTTGTAAATCAGATCAGATACCTAACATATAAGTAAATACTACATATAAGTAGAATCTTTGATGAAAATAAATAGGACGTCATCTATTTCTTTTGCCACAAATTGAAATGCAATTTCCGCTTATACGATTCTAGATTTCAAATAGCACTTTTAATATATCACACATGTCTGATAGTGAGCATGTTAATAACAATTAAAGTAAAATAAACAAATTTTCATGATTTTTAGCAAAGACGTCATGACGCCATGTTTGCATTGTCAGTTATTCCAATCATAATGCATTATATTGATATTAGTTTTGTCAGTATTTTATCCAAAAAATGAATTATTGATACTTGTAACAAAATATTGTATATAATAATAAAATATTGATATCTATGGTAAAATATGATTGTATATGGTAAAGTATAATAAAGTAGATTATATGATGTAAATAATGAAACACACTGATGACGTCTATGGCAAAGTATGACATGTTATTCTACAATCATTAACACAAACCTTCTTCGCTGTCAAATTCCATATAATTTCCATTTATACTGTCTGTATACATCTTTATACTGTCAGCATCACTATCTTTACTGTCAAGTACAATTATTCTTTCTGATTTGAATTCAACGGGACACCTTCTTCGTTATTATCTTTATATGTTGGCAGCCATCTTACAGATTAGTCATCACTTCTCAAGAGTTAATCAAATCAACCATTATATATTCTAATTTTACATTTCTATTCTTATTTTTAAATCTTATTATAATTTTATTAATATCTCCAATAATTGATTTTATTAATATACACTTACGAAAAAATTAACATAATCAAAAAATATTTTGTATTGGACACTTTGAATATGTTGCATTCCCCGACCAATGAAGTCTTATTATTTATATTCATAATTCGATCACTGCTCGAGAGTTAATCAAATCAACTATCATATTATATATTCTTATTTTACATTTATATTCTTTCTCATTTTTAAATCTTATTATAATCTCGTATAATTAATTTTATTAGTGCACACTTACGAAAAAAAATTACACAATCGAAAAATATTTTGAATTGGGCACTTTAAATATGTTGAATCACCTGACTAATGAATTCTTATTACATATTTATTATTATAATTTGGTCACTTCTCAAGAGTTCTTAAAATCGATTGTATATTCTTATTTTACATTTACATTCTTATTTTTAAATCTTATTATAATTTTATTATAATCTCGCATAATTGATTTTATTAATATACAAAAAACTAATAATTGAGACAATATTTCGTATTAGACACTATGAATGTGTTGCATTCCCCGACCAATAAAATCTCCTTATTATTTATTTTCAAAATTTGTCAAATAAAAAACGCTTATTGTGATCAAGTGATACAGCGCCATATATTCTGCAAGTTTTATAACGAATTGCGTCATACTGTGACCACCATCGTGAAGAAACGCGTGTTAAATTGAAAACTATTATTTAAAATTGTGTCGTCTCTTTCATTAACAAAATACTGTCTAATAATACTCAGAAACTGTTTTTCTGTTCTTCCACTTTCGTCGCAAGCGAAATAACATTTGATAGATATTGTGTCTCATTGCATAAAAATTGAATAGTAAGTTAAACAGACAATTGTGTTAGCAGTTTCGAATGTGTGAAAGAAGAAAGAAATCCACGAAATCCACGTCAACATCTTGTGATTACGTGTGAGATTACGTCTGAGATTTCGGTCAAGACAGGGTTTCTTAAAAAAGTTTTAAATTAAACATAATGAATATACTGCAAACATTTCTCAACCAATGAAATCTTATTATTTATTTTCAAAATTTGGCCAATAAGAAACGCTTATTGTGCTCACGTGATTCAGCGCCATATATGCTGCAAGTCTTACAACGAATTGCGTCATACTGTGACTACCATCGTGAAGAAACGCGTGTTAAATTGAAAACTATATTATTTGAAATTGTGTCGTTTTTTGATTAACAAAATACCATCTAATAATACTCGGAAATTTTTTCTGTTGTTCCACTTTTACTGCAAGCGAAATAACATTTGATAGATATTGTGTTTCGTTGCGTAAAAATTGAATAGTAAGTTAAACAGACAATTGGGTTAGTAGTTTCGAATGTGTGAAAGAAGAAAGAAATCCACGAAATCCACTTTAACATCTTCTGTTTACGTCTCAGATTCCGCTCAAGACAGGTTTCTTAATACAAAAAGTTTTGAATTAAACATAATGAATATGCTGCAAACATTTCTCAACCAATGAAATTTTGTTATTTATTTTCAAAATTTGGCCAATAAGAAGCGTTTATTGTGATCACGTGATGCAGCGCCATATATGCTGCAAGTCTTACAACGAATTGCGTCATACTGTGACTACCATTGTGAAGAAGCGCGTGTTAAATTGAAAACTATATTATTTAAAATTGTGTTGTCTCTTTCATTAACAAAATACTGTCTAATAATACTCAGAAATTGTTTTTCTGTTCTTCCACTTTCGTCGCAAGCGAAATAACATTTGATAGATATTGTGTCTCGTTGCGTAAAAATTGAATAGTAAGTTAAACAGACAATTGTGTTAGCAGTTTAGAATGTGTGAAAGAAGAAATAAATCCATGAAATCCACGTCAACATCTTGTGATTACGTCTGAGATTACGTCTGAGATTACGTCTGAGATTTCGGTCAAGACAGGTTTCTTAAAAAAGTTTTAAATTAAACATAATGAATATACTGCAAACATTTCTCAACCAATGAAATCTTATTATTTATTTTAAAAATTTGGCCAATAAGAAGCGTTTATTGTGATCACGTGATTCAGCGCCATATATGCTGCAAGTCTTGCAACGAATTGCGTCATACTGTGACTTCCATCGTGAAGAAACGCGTGTTAAATTGAAAACTATATTATTTGAAATTGTGTCGTTTTTTGATTAACAAAATACTGTCTAATAATACTCGGAAATTTTTTCTGTTGTTCCATTTTTATTGCAAGCGAAATAACATTTGATAGATATTGTGTCTCGTTGCGTAAAAATTGAATAGTAAGTTAAACAGACAATTGGGTTAGTAGTTTCGAATGTGTGAAAGAAGAAAGAAATCCACGAAATCCACTTTAACATCTTCTGTTTACGTCTCAGATTCCGGTCAAGACAGGTTTCTTAATACAAAAAGTTTTGAATTAAACATAATGAATATGCTGCAAACATTTCTCAACCAATGAAATTTTGTTATTTATTTTCAAAATTTGGCCAATAAGAAGCGTTTATTGTGATCACGTGATGCAGCGCCATATATGCTGCAAGTCTTACAACGAATTGCGTCATACTGTGACTACCATTGTGAAGAAGCGCGTGTTAAATTGAAAACTATATTATTTAAAATTGTGTCGTCTCTTTCATTAACAAAATACTGTCTAATAATACTCAGAAACTGTTTTTCTGTTCTTCCACTTTTGTTGCAAGCGAAATAACATTTGATAGATATTGTGTCTCATTGCGTAAAAATTGAATAGTAAGTTAAACAGACAATTGGGTTAGCAGTATCGAATATGTGTGTGAGAGAAGAAAGAAATCCATGCAATCCACGCAATCCACGTCAACATTTTTTGTTTACGTCTGAGATTCCGGTCAAGACATGTTTCGTAATACAAAAAGTTTTGAATCAAACACTATGAATATGCCTCAAACACTCCTCGACCAATGAAATCATATTAATTCATAATTTGGCCAGTAGAGAGCACATATTGTGATCACATGATACAGCGCCATATATTTTGGAAGTATATTCTTATTACAAAATTATTGTAACTATCGTCGTGAGAATGTGCGTGTTTAAAAGACTATATTACCTAAAATTATGTTTCTTTGATTAACAAAACTGTAATAATACTGTAATAATACTCAGCAACTGTTTTCCCTTCTGCTAGAAGATATAATACTTCCACTTTTGTTGCAAGTGTATATAAAATGACATTTAATAGATCCTGTGTTTCATTGCATAAAAATTAAATGGTTAGTTAAATAGATAGTTGTGTAACCAGTCAAATGTGTGAAAGAAGAACAAAAGCTATGAAGATCTACATCTTTGGCCCACATCAACATTTCCTGTTTGTTGCTGGAATTCCGGTTAATCCAGGTATGCTAATATGTTGAATATTATATTAATATTCTATCTGTTTCTATATGACACTTTTGTTCTCATGAATACTTTAGAATAATTAAAATAATAAGAATATCATTGATAAACAATTTTCAACACTGTAAATAATTAGATAGTACATGTTATAAAATGAAAAATGCGCTTTTGGGTTGCAAACAAAATTCTAATGGTTTTTAGCCACTGTGAATATTATGTATATATATCTTTCCGGTTGTATCATGTACGTAACACAAACAGCTGCCACTTCAAATAGTTTTTCATTTAAGACATCTAACAGGATGTAGATGCTGTAGACTATCTAAAAAATATAGATATTATATATATTATATATATTATTTACATATAGGTACCATATATATTTATAATATTCCAATAAATTTAATTAACCTTTGACCCACAGTACTACTCGATGAAGTATCTGCCGTCAGAGGGTTAAAATATAAATACAGGAAAAAAATTTCAATTTCAGAATCAAAGCAACTGGTTAGGTTATTTAAGATTTATTAAATGAACAAAGTCATTCAATCCTCTCGTTTCGCGACCACGCCATAAACAAGACATTTACACATTCGTATATCCAAATACTAATCATACTTATATATAAATAATTACATATTTTAATATTACGTAATTTTAATCATTCTTTTCAACTTCATGTTCAGTATGACAGTCTTAGTTTATTTATTAGTTTGGCAGATATTTTAATTTTAATTTTACAATATCTCTCTTATGACAAGGACGGGAGTAACATTCTTGCGTTCATAATGTCCTTGTCTTACATGCGATAGGTTTATAGCTATTTACTAAACTATTCGATAGAAATTTCGACATAAGTAGCTTGATATAATTTTGTAGAAGTTAAATTCTATTTAAGAATTGTATGTTATACAACCTTTATGTCATAGAAAAAAATATTTACATCACTAAACCATTTTTTTGTATTACAGATATTTTACCAATAATTCTTATTTATAGATTATAACCTTGTCAACTTACACGTATTGCTCTAAATTTCGTAAAATAAACAGAAACGCGCCCAAGATTATATTCTAATCGTTTATTCAGATTTGATATCTGAATAGCACTTTCCGACACTTGAAAAAATAAAATCATCTAGATTTAGATGCAAAACATCCAAATTAGGAGCACCGGGCACGAGGAAATATTTAGTTCGCTATCGAAGGCAATATTTTTTTGGTTGGCAGGCTAATAAACAAAGCATAAACCAGTTCGATAATTAGCAGGGCTCCACCTCGTGCGCAAAATATACATCGCGAGAGAAAGTTTCGTTGGACATAATGATATAAAGGGCTCGTGTACGTGTATAGTCGCAAGAAATAATGAAGTTGCGCCGTATGTTTCCGATCGTATGTGCGAGCAAAATGATAAAAAGTACGCGCCTGGCGTGCGCCGCGGTTTGTTGCATTTGATAGTTTACAACCGATTTATGCACCGGTGGAATCATTTAAAACAAGAAGGAGATCGCTGCGAACGGAAACATTCCTACGGCCATGCGCCGGCAAAAGACACG